TGATTCTATGAATAGCTCTGGAGGGGTTGCTATCAGCTCGCTGCCTTTTGGGGTGCCGGTGTGACCCCAACAACAATCTGGCCAAGCTGGTGAAGGAGGATGGCTCTGCCCACCTGGTGGCCGGAGAGGACATGGCTCCCGCGCCCCCCCCCCTACCTCTCCCCCACCCTCTGGGGGTGACGGCTCAGGGGGTGCCCGGATGGGACCCGTCACCTGCAGGCGTGAGTCCCCATGCTGTGCCCCGCCTGGCATTTTGTCCCTGCTGCTGTGGCCACCGGAGCCATCCCGACGGTCAGGGGCAGAGCACGGGCAGCCCAAAAGGCTGGCAGGGTTCCCCAGCAGAGAGCGGTGGTTTAGAAAGCAGCCAGCAAAATAAGCCAAATGCTCCTATTTTCTACCCCTCTCCTGCCGCAGCTCAGGGCTGGGGTGGGAAAGAGCCCCCCTGCTGCATGGTTGCCAGGGCAGTGGTGTCACTGGCCACCCCGGGTTGTCACCGGCTGTCCCTCGCTGGGAGAGCCCATGGGAACAGGCAGCAGGGAGCACGGTTGGTCCCCTGGGCAGGTGCGGGTGGGCAAGAGGGGATGCTCCTATTTTCTACCCCTCTCCTGCCGCAGCTCAGGGCTGGGGTGGGAAAGAGCCCCCCTGCTGCATGGTTGCCAGGGCAGTGGTGTCACTGGCCACCCCGGGTTGTCACCGGCTGTCCCTCGCTGGGAGAGCCCATGGGAACAGGCAGCAGGGAGCACGGTTGGTCCCCTGGGCAGGTGCGGGTGGGCAAGAGGGGATGGGAGGGCTGGGGGGGCTTCTCCTGAGGGGGGTGAGGGGTGTCCACTGTGGGTGAAGCCAGGACCCTGAAGGGAATGAGAGATGGAGCGCGTTGCCCCGGTGTCAGGTGCCTTTGCTGGCAGCAGGAGGAGCTGGAAAACGGGGTGATGCCCTGGGATTTGAACAGATCCCTCTTGGGGAGGATTCCCCCATATAACTCAGCTTCCAGGGGGCCACATCACCCCGGGGTGGGGGCTGGTCTGCCATCATTTCATACAACACTGCACAAGTGGTCGAGGGGCTGGTGGGGATCCAGGCTGCCACTGCTGTGCTGGCCTTGATGTTTGGGATGAGAGCAGAAAGCGGGGATCCCCGGGAATGGGGGGACCGACTCAGCTCCTTCTCTCTTGCAGACCTCAGCCACCACCTCCTGGAGGTGGTGGGGCTGGAGGGTGCGATGGAGATGGGGCAGATCTACACGGGGTTGAAGAGCGCTGGGAAGAGACTGGCCCAGTGTTCATCCGTCACCATCAGGTACGTGTCCCCGTCCCGGCTGAGCGCTTGACCAATGGTGAAAGCTGTGTCACCCCACATTCCCTCTCTTTGTGCCTTGCAGGACGTCCAAGCTGCTGCCCATGCAGGTGGACGGGGAGCCCTGGATGCAGCCGTCCTGCACTGTGAGTCTCCGTGGGCAGCCGGGGCGGGCAGGGGCTGGCAGCATGGCGGGACAGGGCAGGCAGGGAGGTCCCCCACCATCCCACAGGCAGCTTGCCTGGAGGAGAAATCTGGATGTGATTCCAGAGCTGGTACTCCCATGCAGCAAAGCCTTTAATGCCCTGGCTGGGGGGGGCGGCAGCGGCTCCTCGCCTCGGTGCTGAGCTGCTCCCGGCTTGCTCGGGTCACTCCCCGGGATGGGGGCTGCCCAGGGTGGGGCTCAAAGCCTGGGAACCCCTTACTGAGCTGGGTTCTTCACTTCTTTTTAGGTCAAAATTACACATAAAAGCCAAGTGCCAATGCTGCTGGGCCCCCCCCAGAAGAGCAGCTTTTTCTTCCTGAAGAGGAGAAACCGAACTCGAGACTAAACAGCATGGAAGGAGCTGCGGCGCAGAGGCAGCCAGTGTCCCGGTCAGCCGCCTGCTGCTGGGGGGTCCCCAAATCCCCACTCTGCAGTGGGGAAAGAAAACAGACACACACACACACACACCCCAAGCCTGGCGGGGATGACTTGCCCTAGGAAGGTGTTGGAGGCTCCTTCCCAACCACCACAAGCGTCTTCTCCAGCCAGCATGGAAGTGGTGGGCGAAGGCAGGCCAACGCACGGGGATCATGTTCACCGGAGCAGCACTAGGCCTGGGTTTTTTTTTTTTCCCTTTATTTAAATAACCTCCCCCTCACCAGCCCACCCCGGCAGAGCTGCAAATGAACGTGCTCCCGAGAAAACGCCGAGCTTCACTTATTTATTTTTAATCCTCTTGAAGGACACTCGATGTTTTGCTGCACTGGCTTTCTGTCCACCAACCCTAGCACGTTGGAGAAGTTATTTATTTTCTTAAGCCTAGAAGAGACGGTCTTTGCCATGCCTTTGGCTAGCACTTCTGGGATGGGTTTTAAGCCTTCGCTGCCGGCACCGGGAGCCGCGAGGCATGGGACAGGCTGGGGACAGACGGTGCCTGGGCCGTGAGTACAAGCACAGGGGTGGACGGAAGGAAACTGTATTTTGACATGGAAATGGCCAAAACGGGACTTGGGAAGGAGCTGCTGACCCTGAGAAACCCCCACGCCTTGGCTCTGGGCTTCATGGTCATATTTATGTATTTATTTAGGGGACTTTGGGGGTCACCTTCTTTTTAGGAGCCCAGGTTGGACACAAACTCCACCTCCCTTCTCTGCTGGATGTACCCCATGGCACCTCCTTCCATGTTGATTTTCCTCTCTCCTAAAGCCTACCAGCCTGTGCCAGGGGCTGGGGACCCTGGGGACAGACATCCGGAAGCTCTTCTCACATGGAAGTGTCCCCTGCACACCTTTGTACACATCTTCTCATGTGCTTCACCAGGCCCATGGTCTCGCCGTGGTGTCCAGCGCTGCCTCTGGTATGCTTGGGCAGGTTTTGGCGGCATCTGTGGACACATCACCCATGTGTCCCCCACCAGACCAGACACAGCTTCTCCCCAGGATGCGATGGGGACCAGAAAATGGACGAACGCATGGAGGAAGTGGTGGTCTGGATGCGTGCCTCGCTTCACAGCACTCCCAGGAGCCGGGAGTTGGCAGAACCAGCCCATAGAAAGGGCTGCTGGTTACTTCTGCGGGCACCCGCTGCCTCCTGCAGTGGCCCTGCGTGGGGGAATGCTGGCTCCCAAATCGGCCCCTGCTCCCAGACAGCTCTTTCCGGTCTGGTGGAAGCCCCTGTGGCACTGGGGGCAAACTGGGAGCTGGGTGTTGCTGCAGGGAGGAAAACTTCTGCTTGTCCCCACTACGCCCCTGGCACAGGGCAGGGAGTCCCAGCTGGGACAAGCCACCCTGTCCTCCCCGGTGACCCAGTGCCCGGTCCCTCCTCATGCTGCTGGTCCCCATTCAATAGCATCCCCCTGGCAGTGCAGAGGGTGCTGCCATCATTAGGTTTCAGAGTGAACAGTGAGCTGAAAGGGAGCTGTTTGTCACCCTCCCCAGGCAGGGACGGTACTGTTGTGTGCCTGTTCAAGCTCGAGCTTGGGGCCATTTCTGGCAGCGGCCATGGGGCCCTGCTGACACGGGAGGAGGTGGCGGTGCCCCAGGGCAGCCCCAGTTGAGCTCCAACCCACACGTGCCCCTCAGCCGGGGCACAGGAGGTTGCTGCTGTGGCTCCCTCTCCTCCTACCCTCAGTGCCAGCACTGGGCAGGGTGAGGGCGAGCTGGAGGGTAGGTGTGAGGTGCAACGCGATTCCCGGGGCCGTGCTTGAGGTAGAGCGCCCGGCGGCAGCCCAGAAGCCACGAGGAAGGAGCCCTGCGCTGCGGAGCGAGCACAGGTGCCACCAGCAGGCACGGAGATCACCACAGCTCGCTGAAGCTGGGACCTGCTTACACGGGCACGCTCCACCTGTGGTGCATAAATCCACCCTCCTCATCATCCCCGGGGCGGCCGTTAATGAGTAGCCAGGTGGAAGCGTATGGGAGCTATGCCAAATAAACCCCGGGACCCACGGACCAGTGGCCTCTGTTCCCTCCCTGATGGCAGTCGTGCCCTGCAGCCCCTGCGTTTGGGAAGGGGGAAAGGAAAAAAAAGCCTCAGCCATCTCCAGAGCTTTGCCTGGAGGTACGGGGCGGGTTTGGTGACAACAGACGAGGTCAGAGGTGTTTACAGCAGCAGGTTTGGCTCCATTTCCCTGCCTGCTCGGCCTCCATCCGCCCAGTGGGTTGTCCCAGGGCTCCGATCAGAAAGTGCTCATACAGAATCGGCAACGGTTTTCACCACAGCCCTGCTCCTTGTACCTGGTCACGGTTTGCTGGGCTCCGGGCAAAGAGTAGCGCTCAGGTCTCTGCTGGGGTTTGCTGCCAGGGCTGGCGGAGCTGGGGGAAGCAAGCAGGCACCCGTGCCACATCCGTGCCCGTGCCCATGCCCACCATGACAGCAGAGCCACCAGCCCCAGGTTTGAGCTCAAAGCCAGGCAAGGTCTGGGAGCAGATGCACAGACACGTGTCCTGCAGGGCACGGGGAGCCCAGGGCCACCACCCCGGGCCGACAGGACAATGACACACCAGCACCACTCTGCCAAGAGCCACACGCTCCAATGGAGACATCCCCTTGTGATGATCAGTGAGACGGTCCTTGCCACCTCCCCCCGGGGGACGCAGCATCGATCCGCTCCCGCCGTGCCAAAGCCATGCTTCAACGGGCCTGGCAGCTAACGACCTCCTTAGTCCAACGGTGCAAAGGTCTCCAGCCCAGGAGAGGACCCACAGGGGCTGGGGTGCCAGCACGGCTGTCCCTGGCTCCAGGAAGGAACACGCCACCCAGCTGAAGGGCACACAAGGCTCTGCCCCCCCCATCCCCATCCCCCTCCCTCTCCCCCAGCTCAGCCCTGTGTGTGCCCCAAAGGCTGGGGGATGAAGCGGCCAAACCCCCAAAACCCCCCTCCAGCCCCAGGCACCGGGGCCAGCGTGTGAGCACCCCACCAAGCCGGCGCTGTGCTGCGGGACCCCCGAGAGCTGGGGTACCCCATTCCCGTGGGAGCCCCAGCCCCATCCTCCCCCTGTGTGCGTCGCCGTGGTTGCCTGCATGGAAATGGTGTCCGTAGCGTAGCGCGTGTTGCTGTGTACACCTGGACTGCTGTGGGCTTGCCTCCAATAAAGATGGTGATGAAACACCTGGCTGGTCCTGGGGTGCGCTGGTGTTCCCTGATTCCCGGCCAGGCGTGGGGGGGTCCCCATCTTCAGGGACTCCAACGGGAGGTGCCGAATTTGGGGTGCCGGGGCTGAAGGGGCGTTGTCAGCAGCAGCGCGATGGAGTGGGAGCTGCAAGCGACTAAATTTGGAGCCTGCAATTTTTTATTTTTTTTTTTTTTCCTCCTGAGTGAGCTCTAAATTTAGCAGGCGCCAGTCGCCATCCCCGCGTCCAGCCCTGGCTCCCCAGGGGCTTCGGCTCTTCCCAGGGCACCCCTGTGGCAGCCCACCCACTTGTCCCCATCACCTCTCCCTGTGCCAGATGGCAGCAAGAGGCCCAGGGGTGCTGAGCAGCCCCTGGATGGTGTGGGCCCACAACCACCTTGGGTGGTTGGTTGTGCCCAGCTCTGCCATGACCCTGCTCCGTCCCCAGCAGGCTGCCTTGCTCCCCAGCCCAGGTTTTGCCACCCCCCCTATTCATGTGTCATCTGCTAATTTTACCAGCGGTGATTTAATCGTGATGGCAGAGGGGAAGTGAGAGCACCAGTGCCTGCAGAGCCCCCCGGGAACGCTCCCCGGGCGGCAAGGACACCCCATGCCCTCTGCATGCTTCCCTCCCCCTCCCACCCCAGCACGCAGGCACCCGCTGGGTGGTGTATCCTGGTAGACACCCGCCCCCATTTCACCCAGGACACGATGGGAGACAAGCTCCCC